AGAGAGAGAGAGAGAGAGAGAGAGAGATCATCTGTTAGCCATGTCCAGGGTGGTAGCTAATGGAAGCGGTGGAGGAAATGGAGGAAGGAAAAGAAATGAAGAACGTCGAATTCCTCTTCCGCGGCCGCCGGTGGTGACATCATCGTCCCCAAGTGATGATGATGATGTTGACGAAAATGAAGTTCAAAATGCTCTTAAATCCCTGGCTTCCCTGGAAGACCCACTTCCCATAAAGTCGGTGTCTCTGTGTCGAGTATAGTTATAGTTTTTTTCATTTTCCATGCATTGGTTTTCTATCAGTACTTTCTAATCATCTTTAGTTACCATTTTTGTTTTGCAGGAGAGGACTGTCAAATTTCTATAATGGAAAGTCGAAATCATTTATGAATCTGAGAGGCGAAGAATCGAAGTTGAAAATGAAAGAATTGGAGAAACCAGATTACCAAATGAAGAGGAAAAGAAGATTGATTGTGGAAGAGGCTTTAAGCAGGAAAATCAGTAGACTCTCCTTACCCGTAATGAAATCCAAGAAAGATGAAGGAATTAGCAAAATCAAGAGCAATGGACAAGATGAGAGTGACGACCAATTGATTTGATGATCATGAAATGTCTGAAATATGCATGTCTGCTATTTAGGGTTTCCCCTATTTTTTTATTTTTTCAATTTTGGTGTGGTACTATAATAAAACTTTGGTCTTGCTGCATTTGATCTCTTGATATGACTTCTCTTTTGCACTGTTTGACTCTTAATTGAGAAATTGGACGGATGTGAAGTTGGGTCACGATCGAGTAAATCTACCACTAACGCGCTCATCAGATAACACAAATTATATTTCTTTTCCGTCGACTAATATACATAAATTCATGGTTCTTCTTCAGAGTCACGGTCATACAAAATTGAATTAATGTTTGGAGTCATCTTTGTTCAATTTGGTAAGTTCATTGCCTCTGGTTCATGAATGTTTTACCATGAATGAAGTAAATTTCTGAATATTCTATAGATGCATTAATTCAAGAGACTA